CAGTTACTCTTGGAGTAAACGAATTGCAATCCGCTACGCTTGTACTATTTCTAAGTGATTGCTGACTTTTGCTAAGCTTCATCTAAGCGAAAGTCCACAGCAGCCCCGCTGCTAGCGCTCCGTATTGCGGGCCTAATATGTAAAAGTGTGCTGACACGAATGTGCGTACGTGATATCTGTGTCAACGTCATATATTCACGCCTCATGCGTTGGCCTTTGACTAGCCCGTCGGTTTTCGCCAAGTCTTGGCGCGTGCAAGATTCAAACTTGCATTTTGCAGCGAATTTTGGGCGAGCTTTGTCCTGGATTTTATGCACCAGATCGAACATGTTGATTGCTCACCATTCGCAGAGTGATGGACAGACAGAACGCTTAAATCGCATGGTAAAGAATACTATCGCAGCGATTGCTGTAAATCACCAAGTTTGTGCTGAATGATTCATTGCACGTTACATCATTCTTTACCCCAATGGTTGGGCTTATTCCCGTGTCTCTTTACTTTTCTTCGAAGAAATGGACTGTCGAAACAACTTTATTCGCTGGTATCAGTTTGGCTGCTCTGCGAAGTAAAACCCAGATCGAGTCTCAACGAGATTGACCGTGATGCGCTGAAAGCAAGACGCTATTATTAAGAGCCGAGACGTACAAAAGTTAAAGTGCTGATATCAGAGGAAGGCGAAACGCACGAATATGTTGTGGAGAAAATTATATCATTGTATGCAATTAATCTGTAGATACATTCGGTCTCTGCGGTCTTTGAATCATAGTTCCAACCATCGTAACGGTGGTATCTAAGCTATACTCTTAGCAACCCAAAGAGTGTATCTTATGTTCAACTGTGCTTACTGAAGCCAAATCACGATCCCGCCCTGACATACTAGTCGATTGTAGAACCTTTGGTTAGCGATGGATCATTTTTTCATCACCTCTTACACTTAAGCTGCCCTAAGCTCCAGCTCAGCGATGCACTCTTAAATTGCTGCAGGTGTCATAAGCCATGCACTGTGATAGTGTAGGTGAGTGGGTGCAGCGCACATCAAGACTCTCGAAGAAAGTTGGCGTGCCGTCACAACTGTGAGAGATTGCGTGATTCAGTCCTAGGATAGTCGTCCTGGGTGGTTGGTAGGAGGTAGCTCTTTTTGCATGGGGCGGTCAGTAGGCCAGCGGGCGTCACCAGTACCAAGCGAAGTGAATAGAAAAGTCTTATCTTGAATACTCGCGGTGTATAAGTTCCAAATTGGGCAGGACAGCCCTGGTGCTGTTGCCACTTATGCTGGTCTACCTCGGTCTTTGTCTCTCCTTGAGAGGACGCTGTGACGCCCGTCGCAGCACTCAGTCTACTAACAAGGGGCGACCGACTTTGTCCCAAGTTAGCGGGAGATGACAGCTGTCTTATGATGACAAGCTGATCTTCTTACAGCAGAAACGGGAAGTGATAAGGTTTCGCCGCGACGTTTGCATCGTGTTAAACTGCATTAAACGAGTTTTATGTCGGTTATCCTCTTCACTGAAGCTGGATTGCAAAGCTATGAAGCGGGTGAGGTGTCGTGTCTTCCTCATCCATTTCAGTACGATATTATTTGGTACTTTCGCTAGCATTCAGTACCGAAGCTACAGTCTGCATGAAGAATACGGATCCAAGCGCAGGTGATATCCCTGAAAAAGTGGTGATTTGTCGCGCTTAAGAAGCTATTTTCGGGCGCTCGCTTTGCTCTTTTTTTGTGAGAAAGACTCGCGCGCATAGATATGTTAGGCCCCCGCCTCGACGCAAAGGGCAACTTATGATGCATTAAATTTCATAGTTACACCATATTAGATTCATTGCGACTATTGCACTTGCAAGAGCGAGCGCTCGGCTTTCTGAGCTAGA